AATATCGACCTCCAAGTAGGTCCCCTGGAAACCATGGTGGTAAAAAACTTTGGTTGAATTTTGAGTTAATAATAAATTGTGACATGCAATGAATTAATCGATTTGTGATTTGCACTACTATTAGACATCAGCAGACTATCTTATGTTTAATAATTTTAATTTTCAAGCGAATTTATTCGCTTCTTTTCATTCCCATTAAGTTCTATTGAAATAGATTATAGTGATTCCTTTATTATCTTAAACAGTTAATTTCAATTTGTTAAAATAGCAATAGGTATATAACGGCTCCAAAGATGTGGTACACAGATAAAAAAATCACGAGTACCTATCATTTATAATTGACTGCGTATTGTATACTGAGATAGCGTTATTTGACGGTTTTAGTAAATGGAAGTTTGAGATTCATCTTTCCCGCTTTTACATAACAGTACATTCGATTACGATGATAGTTATTTGTACTGAATTTATGGTCAATATAGCATTTAAATATATACAAACGGTAATATAATTGTAATACTATGAATATCTAACCCTACGTTTTACGTTAGTGCAATCCATCAAAATGAATGGCGAGAAATTATTCGCGTGTATGTCACATCCATAGACGTAATATAATGTACTCACGTACAAACTGGCAATGCAATTATAAAAACGAGACAAGAAAATGGTTCCACTACGAGTAGAGCGCATGTTATCTAAATTTATAAGAAATTTAAATTGCAATAGCAAATTCACGTAATTTTTTATAATTTTAATTTTCAATTCATGGACATTTAATACTTTATTTGGATTAAATTAGATATTTTCCTACCAATTTTAGCATGTAATATTACTGATAATTCTATAATATTGCATATAAAGTGATAGATGTGTAGAGCATAATTACGAAAGAAATGAGCAGTTTTGTTGGTTTTTTTTTTCCTAATTTATATTACATCCAGAAACAGCACACTTAAACCAACTATATTTACTTAAAACTAATTACACTCCTAAATGTAAAATAAAAACAATTTATTTTGTTTATACTCTCGCCAAATCAACTTCGAGCTTGTATTGTGTCCGTGAAATCCTATTTTCTATCTCGCTCTAACATATATGTTATTATAGTTTTTTTCTTATTTATATTACCAATCTATACATTTCATAATCTTAGGTCACACCTTTATGAATTTACGTTAATAGCTTAGCGTCAAAAGTGCCGTATACGTCACGTCCTAAAAACTTTCAACTCATCACTCTGCAGAAACCACTCTTGTAACGGACTGCAGATTATGGTACATGTATGTATATAGTACGCGTACATTAGGAATGATTACAAACTAAGATGTGGTATATTAAGTACTTTTTATTATTTATTGAACTAATTTAACGTCAATAAAAATTATAATAAAATGAACAGGGTCATCCGATCAATTTACTTTGAGCAGCATCACTAGCATTCGACCTGGCACCGACTTGAAACAGTTATATAATATATATATATATATATATATATATATATATATATATATATATATATATATATATATATATATATCACGTCATTATAAACATTGTTTAATTTAATGCTATAATTTAGTACTCATATCACGTCATTATAAACATTGTTTCTTAAAGTGGTAAAGACTGAAATCTTTACCACTTTACAGATACGTTGATCATACTCTGTGTATGTTCCCGTTCGTATCTATTATATTGACAGACGATATATATATGTATGTACATAGGATCGGGAGCGGGCACGCGTCGGGTAACATCATCCGATGTTATCTCGTTATTTATTGAACACGCTAACGAGACATTTTGAGTTACCATCTAGATGGCATAATTTTTTAGATAGCTACAATTACTAAGAAACAATCTCGTTATGACACTGCAAAATCTTCTTACGTGACGTCACAAAACGGAGCCTTCGAACAATGAAGTTACGTGACGAACGAAATTTACACTTCCCTTGTAGAAATAAACAAAGAAGTTTTTCTTTACAGAATAATAGCCATATTTTTCTATGAAGAAACGCCAAATTTGTTAACAGGGCCGAAACTGGCAGTACAATTGGTGGAAAGTAGACGCGACGAGACAAACAATGAAAACACAATAGGGCAAAAATTGTTGCATGACTTGAAAGTAGCCTCAGCCGGCGTGTTGCGATAGGGTAGCATTAGGTTAAATATACTTGTTATACTTATGTGTAATGTAAAAATTAACATTCATTTAGATATGTAAAATTTAGTAATTTATTTGGTATTACGGATAAATTATCTATACATACAATGAAACTGTCGAGTCGGTCGAGTGTCTGTACATAGAAAAAAAAAAACGCTAAAAACCGAGTCAGAGTGATGTTAGAAGTCAAATAGAAAACCGAGGTTTTCCCAAAAGACTACAGCATGGGGTGCTTCAAAAGGGGGGTAAAGAGGTTTCTTCAGGGTCGGCAACGCGTGCGTAATACCTCTGGTATTGCAGGCGTTCACAGGCTACGGTAACCGCTTACCATCAGGTGGGCCGTATGCTTGTTTGCCACCTCAGTGGTATAAAAAAAATAGAAAACATCCTGATTTTTTTCACATTTTGTCTCTGTCTGTTTGTACGGAAAAATCTCCGAAGCTATTAGACCGATTTAAATAAAATTTTGCATTGTGGTAACTTACATCCCCGATCATTTTTAGATACGAGTACTTTTAATCACGGAAAATGAAAGAGTTCTCGTGGAATAGTTAAAAAAACTATAGTAACTTATACAGCTTAGTTAGTACACAACCTACTTAAGTAAAGCTATTTGACCTAAGGCAAAGAGTGAAAACGACACGTAATTTGTTAATTTTGATCAGTCTTCCCAGACATACATCGATATAATACTAAACAGGAATAATAAGTACCACGCGGGCAAAATCACGAGTATCAGCTAGTCCTATTAATATAAAAAATGCGAAAGTTTATGAGGATGGATGGATCCATGTTTATTACTCTTTCACACAAAAACTATTAAACGGATTTCAATGAAATTTGAAACACGGGTAAGTTATACCCTAACTGAGTACATAGAATGCTTTATATACTAATTCACGCTTGTGGAGCCATGGGTTACAGCTAGTATATATATTCTTATACCTTTATGTCTATTGTAATATTCTTTCTTTTGTTTCATGCAATCCAAATAAATATTTTAGGATCAGGTATGTATAGATATTATTGCAATTATATATTAAGTATTATATAAAATATTAAAATCTTCTTTATTTTGAAAAAAATGTAGGATATAAAATATGAATAAAATGGGGTTAGTAAATAATCCTAATTAAGGCTTACAAATACATGAAATCGTCTTTGGTAATTTGTAGAAACATAGCTAGATTAACAGTAGTGTGCTACCATATAACTTTTAATATATATAATTATAACTGTTTTTGTATTGCTATTACTAATAATTATAAAGACAATGAATTATGATCATGTTTCGTAGTTAGTACTTACTATCGTTGGTGAAACTGGACTGAAATGTCAGTAGGGTTGAGCTATTTCTATATGCATTCAATTAGAGTTCTAGTCGCTTTAAATTAGTCATTGTACATTGAACATTAACAATGAACACGGAGTCGCGAGAGTGCATCGGGCACGGGCAGCGTCTCCTCGCGTCGACCGGTGGAGCCTCTGGTCCTGAGTGAGTGTGATGTTTCAGTGCGGCTATCTCGAGGGGCTGCGCTCATCACTCGGTGGCTGGACGCAGAAAGTTAAATCATGGTACTGGGGAAGACCTCTAGTAAGTGGCCCGGCATTTCACCGGCGGAACGATCAGCGAAATGTCTTAGCACAATGACAGTTCTTACATTTGCACGATATTATTTATTACAAAGAGTTATTTAAATTTTTTTAATGGATCTTGCTTCTAAAATGAAAACTTTGCTTGGTGTTAGATCAATAATTTACTTATTATATATGTTTTCACTTATCTCTCGTTGCACTCGTTTCGGTGTTAATTTGACGCATTAATTTTTACTTTTATCCTAGGTTTTATTTAATTGTAGTAATGTACATACACTAATTTGCTCATCTTTTTCATCTCGGTAAAATCATTAGCCTGTAGAAGTATTTTTATTGTCTTGAATGGATTGAGCTAACTTGCTGCATGAAAAATTTTGTAGGTATAAATTGTATAATTACTTGCAGTTTACTAAAGAAAAATAGTGTCTGGATGTTAGTCAAAATTATTACAATTTCCCTTCATATTAGCAAACATAAAAAAATCATCTTCTCAAAGAGTAATTTAACCGCATGGTGGCATAAGTGCATTCATTTCATAAAACTTTTTATTGAAAATTTTTTTTTATTCTTTTATAATTTTAATCATTTATTTTTGAAAAAGCATCTCATTTTATTTTAAATTTTATGTTGCATATTGTTATAATTTTCTATATCTTAGTTATGTATCTACATAGGTAGGTACTTAAATGGGATTACGACTCTCCTCATAAACATTTTACACTTGTAAAATAAATCCACTTTGAACCACGCCACCGAGTGATCGAACCGCATGACTCTAAGCCTCTAGCACACATCTCACTTACAGCTTCTCGATACATTCGACGTATACCAATCACTCTGACATTTATGTAACTGAGAGGCACAAGGTCGTAAATCGACAACTCATTCACAGATGTTCCAATCAGTTACTAACTCAAAGAAAAGGAGTTATACTCTAGCCGTGGAGTTACCTACTGCCCTCTGCCACCCAGCTACACATAACTGAAAAGTTAACCCTAGAGCACTAACTTATATTTAGAGGCTGAATTAAATTTGCTATTAGCATTGTAGCATTACAGTTTTAGTATGGATGTGGTAAAACTAGTAGTTAGGTTTTAGGGTCTTACAGTATAGTTTAATTACTTAGTTCTATAAGTACCTATTATCATAAAAATATGTATATAATTCTTTTTTTTATTATTCTTTACACCGGTAAGTAGACTGTCTTGTTATTTTAAATTTTTATTATATACTTATAGGAACTGGCACACAAGTTATCAAGAAGTTTCGATATGAAAGAGGAAGGAGGTGCGCTTCTTGAAGATAGAGGGGGTATTCGCAGACACCAATCGATGCAGCGATTGCAACATGGCGAAACCCAAATGGATGAGGGTCGGGCAGCGCGTGTAGTACATGACCATCACGGCAATCTGCATATCAGCGTCAAAAAAACCAAACCCATACTCGGTATCGCTATCGAGGGTGGTGCTAACACGAAGCATCCGCTGCCCAGGATAATAAATATCCATGTAAGTTTCCTAATCTTATCTTTACGATAACATTTACTTCAATGAAATTCCACATTACAATTCTATTACTGTATAGGAGTGTATTGTAGCATTAATGTTGGTACCGTAAGCACTAGTACATTAAATAAGTAAATTTTTATCATGCGTAAGATTTTTTACGAATTATAAAAATAAATATACATTTACAGCTGATACAATTAATCAAAAATATAATAGATGTAAGGCCACAGAAACACGTTAAGAACTGTAGAGCGTAGCTGTCCACAATTAGAGATATATGCCAGAGCTTAGCAATTTATGCCTAGAGGTACAGGTTACAGACCGTGTGAATTTATGATACGATGCAACAATGTCAACAAAATATTACTCCATTGTCGCTTATTTGTGACACCGCTGTTACTTATTACCAGACAACCGAAGAAATGAGGGTAATGTTTTACAAGTGTAGGTATATAAGTGTGTCCGGATAACTAAACCATTTAAATGAGCAGTCATAGATTAATTTTAATTTTATGCAAAAGTATTGTATTGTTAAATATATTACAGTGAAAACTCATACAGATCTATAGATAGAAGTATTAAGTATCAAAAACGTCAAAAAAATAATTAGATAGGGAGCCTATTTTTGGCAGACTCGTTGTTTTTTCACATTGAGTGTTTAAATGTTCTTTTAATTTAGGTCCAAAAATCTGAATATATATTATTGAAAATTTTAGTAATAGAATGGTTTCTCTGTATATAATTTAAAATGTATCATGAATTTAATTTTTAATTATTAAAAGACTAGGAAAACAATTTAAAACCACGCCATTTAAAAAAAAACTCCATCTAAATGTTATTGATCTATAATATATGTAAAAGTAAATACGACCGTCTAAATAGTCACAAAGTTGCGAAATTTAATAGTCAAGTTTTAACGACTTCGTGTCAGATTTAAGATTTGTTCCAAAAACAATATAGTTCAATCAACTATTTATTGTACAATACGGAATGGAACCTGTCTATTAAAAAAAATCATTGAGATCATTTTATATTTGAAGAAATTATCAATATGTAATCAAAGATTTAAAAATGGCCCTTAATACAAATAGTTATACATTTAATTTCATAACCCGTCGAGTTTAACGGATAACTCGAGCTGTTCGTATAAAACGTATTTTAATCCCCTTAGTTAATTAATCACATAATTAATAGTTCTCCTTCTTGAAGTTGGGTCATAATAATAATTCGTCATTTAACGTCGCACTGTTAGGAGCATGGAGCGGCTTATGAAGCTGGCGGACTAGAAGTGGGTCAACTCATCCTGGCTGTGGACGGACACCGCGTGGAAGGCATGCAGCACCAGGATGTGGCGCGGCTAATAGCGGAGTCCTTCGCACAAAGAGATAAGCCGGTAAGAGGTTTATTAGATGGTAATAACTTTTTTATGGTACGAAAAAATTAATAGTTCGATATACAAAAAGCTGTTTACTATATTAAATACTATACATGCCAGGAAGTATTTCGAGAGAAATCAATAGCCAAATAACAATTTAATCGCTTCTTGAATAATAACTATCTTGCTTTGCTCATTAAATATGGGGATATGTATTGCTCGCGACATAACTGTTAACCATGTTTATAATTAAAGTCTCTATCGAGTCCGAAATTAGTCGGACAACCCTGAAGTTGAAGAAGAAAAATGTGAATAAAGCCAATAAAGACAATTATATTTAATTATTAAATGTAATAACTATTTAATTTCAATAATATTTAAGGTGTGTAGCTTTCAATTATTTAGGTTTTCAAATGTTTTCATAAAGAGATAATTTTTACAGGAAATCGAGTTCCTTGTGGTGGAGGCGAAAAAATCAAACCTGGAACCAAAGCCAACCGCGCTTATTTTCCTGGAGGCCTAACATCTACTCTCCCTCCCCGCCAGCGACCCACCGGCCGCGCTGGGCAGCGCGATGCCGGGGGTCGACCTCACCGCGCACACCACGGAATAGCCAACTCCAACCTGCGCTGCCACATGCTCTTCTGAACGCGTTCATCAGGCCGACGGCCGCGTCACTGCTCTCCGACTAGCTCCAGTCATATGCATCCACAGCTATTGATCTAAATAGATGTTGCCACGCAAGGTACATGCAAGTCAATGTCTACTCTAAATAACCTCAAAAAATCATACTTGAAAATATTTTTTTTAATTTGACAGTTAATATTTGTGAAAAGATTTGATGCGATTGATTATCAATAAATAGTTTATGTAAAAAAATAATATGGTTCGCTTAGTTTTCGTATTCATTGAGGTAGCTACATGTGGCGTCTATTTCCTTCTATGTCTGTGGTTACCACACGTGGACATTTGCGAAAACCGAATATTTCGTACAAAAATAACTGTTTCGCATAACATTACATAATCAGATTGTATAATGTGACGCGAACGCGGACTACTCAAGAATTGAAATCTGTACGTGTTATGCAGATACAAAATGTCTTTTTAAAAGTCAAACACAAGATAATACTGCGTAATTTAATAGTATGGTTTCGATTTTGTGGTTTTCGTACATATCCGCGTGGGTTGTGGCGATGTAACTTGGATATCCTCTTGTTCTATCCCTCGGAGAAAGTGTGGTGTAGCGGCTCCAAAAACGGTCAGCGGAGGCGCGTCTCGCTCTACAGAGAAAGAACCACTGTGTAGATGACGAATACTGACGTACGAAATATAGTAACCTGACGTTGCAACTGGCTAACATGAGAATAAACTGGCGATACGATGCAGGTAAAATAGTAGGCTATACAAAATTAATGGCACAAGGGAGGCAAATTTTTTACATCTCGACGAATTGTCCAGTATATTAAAACATTAGTTACGATGCAAACTGCCCGTGCGGCTCGAAAGACTTTCTTAAAAATACGTCCCAATTTTCTAACGGGATATTTCGGGTAGTCTGGACGACAGTTTTGTAAATTGTTTTCTAGAAGGTAGAGATTAAACCAAATTTTAACAGTAGTCAGCGACTGAATTTTATAATGAAACTCTCCTACTTTTACCAATTAATATAAGTTCATTTTAAAAATCACGTCTTACGGTAACGTTTCAGGTAGTCTCGATCAAATCAAATCCGTAACTAATTTTAATAGAACTAGAGTTGTAAAGAAATGACGATAACATAGATCTTACGATGTTCATTTTCAATACGAGTCGTGCTAATATTTGATTGGCATTGGTGCTATGGAAAGAGATCATATAATTCAGTAAAGATTCGATTGACAGTTCATATTCCCATCCGTAGTGTTCACTAGCGTACGATTAGTGCTTGTTATCAGCGCGTTCCTTAGCAGCCCATGCGAGGAGTTCATCCGCGAGAGTCATCCATGTGCCATCAACGTTGCATTGGGAGGGTTCGTCGACCGAGTACTACGTACAGTCGCGTCATCTCATCCCACATCGTCGCCGTCGTTATGTCGGTGGTAGATAGTGCAAAATTAGTAGCGCCCCATCATTCTCATCAGTAGAGCAGAGCTTGCAGCACGCGACGCGCTCCTAAGCAAGCTGTATTTGAAACATCATTCAATTTTGATATTTGTTTTTATTAACAATTATTTAAGACATATTTTACTTTAAACAATGTTATTAAATTTTATTTGTTAATATTCTCTTATATAGCCGTACTGCACGTGCATGCCAATAGAACGCAAATCGGCAGACGAATGTATCAAAATTTTTTTGTAATGATTGAGTTCCTAGATAATTTATATAGTGTTTTGCATTTTAATGTAGATTTAAAGTAAATTGTATTTCATTTATGTTAATAAATATTTATGTTACATTCATTATAAAGATTAGCAATTGTAAATTGCACATTTATTTCAGTTTGCTTAGCGATGCTACATAAATGGCGCGTCACATGTCATTCCATCAGGTAGATAAGCGGTGAGTTTACGAAATTATGGCGGAGAGGGATCTTAGCCCACTCTTTTATTTATATACATACGTAGATATTAAGTGAATGTGTGCAATATAATCAAATATTTTGTTAGATGTTAGAATCAATAAACAATATTAACGTCGATATTCTAGATCATCGTGCGACGTTGCAAGTTGTATACATACAGTGGGTTGCCAAATTAATAGGGACAGTCACATTTTTTATAATTTTTGTTCCTCAAGTGCCCCTGATTGCGTTTTTAAGTGGTATAAGTGTGTTTGAAATATGTTTTTATGTTATCAGTATCTCTGTAACTCAAATTTAAAGTGAATTTCGAGTGCTGAGAGATTTATTTATTTTGTAAATATATTTTAATAACGAGAGAGACACACAGTCGTCCACACGTGTAAAAGTGAAACACGTAAATAATTCTTTTGAACAGTTCATTTGTGGTTTTGTGAAATAATTATTATCTGCAAGTAAGTACTATTTTACTATTATTAAAATTAAAGTATTTTGAGGCAGATTTTAGAACAATTTTTATTTTTATATATTTTTACAGCTTTGGCTATGGGTCGAGGGGTAGATTTGTCTCCGAGAAAAAAATCTGAGATTAAAACCCTTCTCCTAACCACAAGTCATTCTCAAAGAAAGATAGCAGAACTGGCCGGCGTATCTAAGTCTGCTGTCAATAAAATAAAGGTCAATTTAGACCAGAATCGGCCATTTTCGCCCAAAAGAAAAGGCAAATGTGGCAGAAAACGTATCACAACAGCACGTTCTGATAGGAAAATTCGGGATATCTGTTTTGTTGGATTCTTAACTCAGATGGTACAGGAATATGGAATACCTGTTTCTAAAAGAACTGTACAGCGAAGGTTGGCAGAGGAAGGCCTGACAGGTCATCGTCCAGTTAAGAAACCACGATTGACAAATGCGATGAAGAAGAAACGGCTTGCTTGGGCTCGTGAGCACCGCCTGAAGACTGTTGAAGACTGGAATAAAGTCAGTTCTAATGTCAATTTTGTTTGTGTTATATAAAATCATATTTATAAAAATTATGAATAAATTTCTATTTTTTTTAGGCATGTTTTTCAGACGAGTCAACATTTGAAATTCTAGCCGACAAAAGTAACTTTGTCAGGCGGCGTCCGGGCGAGAAATTTCACCCTGATTGCATAGTGGAACGCGTTAAACACCCTGTAAAAATAATGGTATGGTCTGTCATAAGCGCAAAAGGGGTTGGGCGCCTCTATATAGTCCAGGAAACCATGAGACAGGACCAATACAAGCAAGTATTAGAAACACGCCTGTTGCCACAACTCCAGGAATGGTTCCCGAATGGGGAGGAATTTGTGTTTATGCACGATTCAGCTCCATGCCATAAAGCGAGGAGTGTAACCAAATTTTTGGAAGACCACAACATTCCAGTTTTACCTTGGCCTGGCAATTCTCCTGATATGAATCCCATAGTAAACTTGTGGCAAATTACCAAGGCGGAAATTGCCAAGGAAATGATAACTACCAAAGAAAAACTGGTTGAAAAGTTAATAAATATTTGGCATCACAATCCCAAAATAAAAGAAAGTGCTAAACAGTGTATCGAAAGTATGCCGAGGCGGATTCAAGCACTGATATAAGCAAAAGGAAATGTTACAAAATATTGATAATTTCCTATCATAGTACTTATTATACTTGTTTATATTTTCAAGTTGTTTAAATATTAAATTATTGTATTCTAAATTCATTAAAGATATGTATCTAATATTATTAAATATAATCATAGCCTAAAGTGACGTTTTGAATTAATTATGGACCAATATTTTACAAAAAACCAATATTTCGTGACTGTCCCTATTAATTTGGCAACCCACTGTATATATATAGTTAATGTCATCCAAATATATAATGAGTTAATTACTACATGATATCTAAAATATTTGTTCTTAAATACTCCCCGATATATCAATGTGAATGTTGCTAGTGCTTTTAAAACTTAAACTGTAGATATTGTACACGTTCCAACTGTTGTAACACATGTATAAAATGTAACAAGATATAACTAAACCTCATTCATTATATTTCGGATATCTGAACATGTGACCGTTGTAAATATATATTTATACTCATAAGCTGTAAATATCCAATTTGAATGTATTGTAATATATAATACTACTTTAAATATTTATCAAAGTTAGTGCCAAAAGCATTTTACAATTGCGTGTACAGTATGAAAGAGTCAAACAATGGCATTAACATATAAAGGCTTTTGATTAGTATCTACAATAATATAAAATATGATTCCAATAAATCAGTTTCAATGACTTGTCAAAACATAGTTTGTTTTAAACCTATGGTACCTATGTACTGTTCTTATCAAGACCATCCTTGATACTTGACAAACTGTCGTTTAAGTATAACATGTCATTAAAACAGATGAAAAACGCTTCTGTATATTTTATTAAATAATTGTAATAACTCATTGAGCATGTACGCTTTCTATTTATTAGAATATTATGATCATTACAAATCTATTTTAAAAAAACCGTACTTAATCCATTACAGAATTTAATATGAACCAAATTTTTGTATACTTAATTATTATCATTTTAAGTCAGTGTACATAGCTATTATTTTGGAATTTAATTTGACCATAGTCAATATTTTAACAGTATTTAATCCACACGGTAACATCCGCCTCTCGAGAACTTAAAATTTTACCTGTTTAAAGTTATATAAGTGACACTACCTAATAATAAAATGAACAAAGTACCTATGCACTGAGACAATTATATATTTTGTACGAGTAATTATAGTTAATTTTAACTTACACCTAATTATATTTAACCTTATTAATAAGTTTGTATGATTGTTATATTTAAGTGAACATGTAACTATATATTTAAAAGCAGGCAGTGCGAATAGCCCTGCCTTTATTTGAGTCAATTCATCATTTACGTATTAAACACGTCAAACCAAAAGCAATTTTAAGCGTAGGTAGTAAGAATTATTTTTAATATAATTGCAACAAAATTATCATAGACAACGGAACATTACAATTTGCATCATTTGACATAATAACTTTGTGCGTCGATTTGTTTACCAACAGCTTATTGCGCCTGAATTTTCTAAACCCGCAACAGCGGGTGGACGATTTTATCCTAATTATTCTAAGCCGTCCAATTATTTTCGCGTTTAGTTACTCTTTACTGCGAAAGTGTGTGGTTATATGAATTTAAATACTTATATTCGACCTTAGATAGTGTTCAATGTGTTGGTAAACATTTCACAGGAATAATTCTACTTATTGCAAAGTTTAAACTTGGCGCAGGTGTTTCGTTGAGAAGATCTATGTTGTAGTCTGTTGTTAAGTTTGTCGTTGATGACAAAAATATATTGTTATCTAGATATTTTATTGTTTTATTTCCTAATTTTATTTATTTATTAATTCAATCTAGACATCCTCCACTATAGAAGGTAGCCCATGTCTCACACATAAAAGATCACGACCAGCAACTTATTATTACGGCTACATAATCAACGACTGTACGCTGTACTGGAAAAATAATAAGCATCGAGCAAACTTAAAACATGTGACATTATTGATTGACAATCGTATTATATTATACAAAGTCGAAAAGTTATCAATTTTTAAACATTTTATATCTATCTTAATATTTATCCATTGTATTTATATTCTATGTTTTTACAAACTTGAAATGACAAACAAACTCTAACGGTCCACCTGATAGTAACTGTCTTCGATGGGCAAGAACAGCATTCATAATTTGTACTTATTAAGAAAAAAAAAGTTAAATGCCTCTGTAATTACGGTTTTAATTTGGGGTCCTAGGCAACGGGCCTACACGTTTTGTATTTCCAAGTAAAGATTATCCTTGGTAAGAGGAGGAGAATTGCTGGTAATGGGATTAAGAACTCCATTGCTAGCAATATAACCTATTAAAGTAACTTAGTGCCCCTCATCATAATTAATTTCGAGTGATCTTCACGATAAACTAACAAATCTTATTTTATTCTCACTTATCATCCCTCACTGATGCTCCATCAGCGTAACACAATAGCGCATATGGAATTACCGTATCATTATTACCGATAAAAAACCTCGCTATTTTTTGTAATTTACTAAAATTTTTTAAAAATTCTGTAGTAAGTTAAAATCTACAAGCCACTACGCCTAACCCAAACTGCCGGCAAACATGAATGACATGCGCTTGTTTGCTATTACTATTTATTAGCAAATATATTACTATTATATTATCGACCAATGTGATTCAGAAATCCTTCTACAATGTTTGTAGATTTGTGTTATTTAGTTAAGTAAATTTCTAGAGCTTCCGAGGTTAAAATGGCCTATAACGATCACATCACAATTGCTTACAAACACAAAATACAGCAAGAGATATTCGTAAAAATAAATAGTTTTACTTTGAATTTCTCCGTCTCGCACACTGTAGGCAAAAATATGAATATATTATCTGAAAGTATATTCAATAGTACTAATTTGATCAAATAGGTAATCACCTAACCACGCGATTTGCATCATTTCAATCCACAGATTATAAATAGTTTGTTTGTTTGTAACACTTTCTTCTACAGTAAAGTGTTAAATTATAGGATACAGAGATCTTAAGAAAACAATGAGTACAATGGTGGACTTATCTAAATAAACACTAAATTATAAAATTTAACTCTAAATTTGTGCATCTGCAGAATAATCCCAAAGTGTCTTCAGACAGGATTTTAGGACGTTTACTGAAGAGTACATTCTCACATCCCATAGGGGTTCCAGAAGCAAACAACTTGAACAGTAAAAGATTTTGTATATCGGTGAAGAGAAAGAGAGAACGAGCAAGAAGCAATTTAGTATCCAGGGAAAGAACTGGAGGCGTTTAAGTGAGCGGAGTGAGGCAAAAATCCTCTGGCCTATTTCACCAACGTGAGGAAACCAGGATAAAGTTTAATCCATAACTATTCCCAGATTTTTGACAGTAGTAGTGAAAGTAATATGAATGCCATTAAAATCAACATTAGGAGTAAAAATTTTATCGTAATTTGAAAATTACATAATGTCAATGTCAAAATACCAATCAATTCATTCTTAATCTTTATTAATTGGCATTTACAGCATACGCAAGATTGCCGACAAAAGTAGAATCACATAAGTGGAGATCATCAGCATATAAGAGAAACCATGACGAAAAGAGAACAAACCGTAACACTAATAATAAAAATAGAAAAATGATAATACTTGCTTCCATTAATCTTTCCTGGGAAAAGTGATTATGTATCATAAATGCTTGGTAAAACTTCGTTAGATGCGTCATATTATACGCACATTATCAATATATTATTCAATGATTCATAGCTTATAAGAAAAATATTGATCACAAAAATTAAATGTTCAAATCAAACTCTCCCTTTTACGGTGTATCGAGTACTTCAATTTTGCATGTGTCTAAAGAGCAAAATTTAGAATCAAATAAGTATCTTATTTGTTAATTTTAAATAGTAATAGCCGAGATATAAAATTTCCACGTGAAATTGCTATAGATTATTAAAAATTATAAACAATGATAGAGATTAAGTTGATTGGCATATTATCGACTATATTCATGTTTTCAACAACAGCCCTCACTCGCCGTGATTCGATTTCAATAACATGATAACAATTTTTATTAGGTACCTACTAGTAAACTATGCAAACAAAACATAAAAAATATAATATTCTAGACATTTCCATTCAATATTGATTGATATTATTTATTAA